GCTGGAGTTCGAACCTCACAACTCTCCCGCTGGCCAAAAGTGCCCTGAAGGCATTCGAGGAAAAAAAAAAAAAAAAAAAAAAACCTTATACCCTAAACTGTTACAACTTTCTTATTCAGTTATTTAATAACAAATAGTTATTAAATCTTATCAAAAACCTATCAATACAGGGAAAACTCAAGTGTGGGAAAGAGGAGGTAATCTGCACAATCTACTTCAAAGTCCACTTTTCAAATCAGTTTACTTAAGATTTCATAGTGCACTTTACCTTGCTGGGCAATATCATGGTAGAGGCGCTCTACTCGAGAATTGTTCCGAAGAAGATCCAGACACTGTCTGTATGATTCCCACAGGAACTTAACCCAAGGAGTTAAAAGTAACCTATCAGTACGATCCTGTGTGTCTTCCCCACTTACAGCACTTAGGAGAACACTATAATAACAGGGGACAAAAGCATTAGAAATCATTTTAGACATGATTTCCTACATTGCCACATGGTTTAAAAACTAACAATGATTGTACTAATAATTCCCATCAGTTTTTTGAAAATAGCAGTTAATGTCTAGAATTTTCACCCAGACTAATTATATGCTGATATCTCCAATCTGAGCAACTACAATGAGGACAGCAATGTGTAATACAAAACTCTCATCTTGGTCTTCTAAATATGTACCATTTCTAATGTCTTATCAATTACCATATTCTTTAAAATCAACTTTTTAAAAAATAAAAAGTTTTGGAAAAAATTAAGGTTTCTTGAAAGCAAACACTAATATTCAATTATTTGTCCAAGCCTGCATAACTGTATGTTAATCTGAGCAACACATGTGATGATAAAAATAATATAACCATTGACAATTAGCTATTCTTGGGCTGGTGAGATGGCTCAGTGGTCTAAGGCACCTACTTAGAACAAGCTAATCCAAGCAAGGCACAGGGACCTCGGTTCAATCCCCAGCACCACATGCTAGCCCGCCTGCCCCCTGGTGGGCTGAGCTGGCCACACACAAAAAAAAATTAAATAAATAAATATGAAAAAAAAATTAGCTATTCTTGTTTTGAAAATCTGTAATTACGTATTGTTGTATGTTAGCTTATTTCTGTCTTTTGTCTTTTTTTTTTTCTTTTTTTTTTTTTTTTTTGGTGGAACCAAGGATTGAACTCAGGTCCTTGTGCTTGCCAGGCAAGCACTTATTCCACTGAGCCATCTCCCTGTCCCCCCGTTTCTGTTTTTTTTTCTATTTGTTTTTTATTCTGCTTTTACTCTTCAAAATAAAATTATATTAGAAAAGAACTAGTTATTTTAGATTAGCATTATGACATTTTAAAAAATGCTAGCAAAAAAAAATTTTTTTTTAAGTTTCAACTATTCAAATAACGGAACTTAACAAAAAAAGGGGATACAGGGCCAAGGAGATAGCTCAGTAGAATAAGTGCTTGCCTGGCAAGTGCAAGGGCCTGAGTTCAATCCCTGGTTCCACAAAAAAAAAA